ACGACGACGACGACGGACGACGACGACGACGACGACGAAGGCGACGACGGCTGGCGACGACGACGACGGACGACGGCGGCGACGACGACGTCGCCGACGGACGACGACGACGACGACGACGACGACGACGACGACGACGGCGACGACGACGACGACGACGACGACGACGACGGCGACGACGGCGACGACGGCGACGACGACGGTCGACGACGACGACGACGACGACGACGACGACGACGACGGCAACGACGACGACGACGTTGACGACGACGGCCGACTACGACGACGACGACGACGACGACGACGACGACGACGACGACGACGACGACGGACGCGGCGGCGGCGGCGGCGGCGGCGACGGCGTCGCGGCGACGGCGATCGCGGCGACGGCCTCAGCACACCGTCGCGCCCCCCCGCTAACTGCCGGAGCGGAGCGAAAGCAGCAGCAGCGGGGCGGGAAAGGGGGCGAGGGGGAGGTGGGCCCCCATCTCTTCCTATCCCTCGAGCCTCGCTTCCAGAGCAGCAACCTCCCCAGCAACAAAACAGCCGAGCGTGTCGTAAGAGCCTCTTTCTAACACGCATGGCTTTACTCTCGACGAGGTGCACCTGGTGTCGGAAAGACTTTGGGATTCTACATCTGCGCGCTGCGCAATCCGCCAATTCGTCAGCAACAAAACAGTTTTAGCGAAAACGAGACTACTTACAGAGCGCCCAGCAACAATGTCATCACCATCTTGGCGACTTCTTCCGAACAGGAGTTTCATTGATTATGAGCTATATCTAGCATGAACTCGGCTATCTTAGCCCACAAATCAGCGTCTGGGCCCTTCGGACTGAGGTAGGCCTGGGCATGGCAACTCTTAGCCAGGGGCTCGAAATCAGCTCTCTATATAAGATATATCCACGTGTGGCAGACAAGGCTAGATTACACGCTTTCAACTCCCATCTCGCAACGACCTGCATATGACCACAAGGGGCCGATGATCGACGAATCCAAGGCCAGAGAGGTGAGAGAGGAAAACTTCGCTGCAGCCAGAGCCACGCGATGTAGTCTAGGCCACCTCGAGCCAGGTCCACCCGAGGCGTCGCCGGAAACCAGGACAGGACACTCGCGTTAACCAGTGCCGAAGCACCAGAGTTCAACCTCGTTCACACCCGTCGCGGCCCAGGAATCACAAGCTACAGGCTCAAGGACCCCAGCCCAGGGCTATGGGATGAGGTCCCTAATCCAAAAAGCTTTAGAAGTTTCGAATTGGGTGGTGGCTTGAAACAGCTAATTCGCCAGAAGACTCACATGCCCTGGAGCCTGTCCTCTGACTGCCCTCCCAGTACCTGTAGACGAGGGTCTCAGGCTACGCACGACATCTGTCAAACACGCTGTCTCCTGCGAACCGTTTAATCAAATCAAGCTTGCGAGCTTGTGGCCAGCATCCTGCAGAGGCAATCATTGTCATTGTTTCGGCCAGCCTCTATCACTTGGGGGAGGCGGCGAGCTGGCGTAGCAAAGCGCGATACGAATCATTGTCAACACCATGTTGCAGCCCACCTCCTGCATACTGTCGACTGGCATGCCTCCACACCTGAAGGCGTGCCGCAGTCTCCAGATCCTGGCGCTGATGCTGGTCGATGTGCGGGTTGCCTGTGTTGCTCTCGTCGGGGGACACCCACTGCTCGCGTGGGTCGTCGTTGGTGGGGTAGCTTCACTCTGATGGCGACGCCGGGGTCCAGCCGAGACACAGTAGGTTGAGCACCATCGCCGGAACAGGACCTCTGACTTGTCGTGTGCCTGAGTACTTCGACGTCTGCATCTACTGCAAAACGTTGGGCCATATTTACCTTACACCATTCCGAATACGCTGGTGATCTCTCAACGTTGTTTAACCATAGGCAAGGTCTGCTTTGGGCACTCTCAGGTCCAGCACCGTTGTCAAGCATCTGCCACGACTGCCGCTCGAACATGATTGAGCCAGCCTTCGCCTGACCAGCTTCACTTGTTCACAATAAACTCCGTGCACCTGGTGTCTGTACAATCCTGCAGGTAGTCCTCCTTGCGTACGCAGCTTGGGGGGGTCGCGTGGCATTGTTTGCTCGTTTTTGTGAACCGTCGTATATTATGTGACATTTTCTGAAGTTTAGCTTCACGCGCAATCGTCTGGTGCTGCGGGCAAGCCTTCCACATTCGAAATCGATTCCAAGATCTGTTGCCTGGGTCACTCTTTTGATATGATAACCACGCCCGCGCACAGCTCTTACGATCGCCTTCGTGTCCTGAACGCTGGTGCGCATGATGATGGTCTTGGCAGCGACCTTGAGTTGGCGTTGCTCCAACTGCCCACATGTGCGCACGATACACTCCACCACCTGGCACCCGATGGTCTTCCTCGAGCCACACATGGTCTGGGATAGGTCGGCCACCTACAGGCGATGGCCCATTCTGGGGTGCATCGTGGTCACATGCGCCATCACGTACAGTCAATCAGTATAGTAAGGATGCGCGATA